GGGGAGTTTAGGGTTTGTAGGGCTTCTACAAGGCTTCCATGAGGTATATGGACCTTCTAAAGGCTCCCATAACGGCAACGACCCACCTGAAAATGTCCTAGACTAAACCCCAAACCCACCTACGGGTGCTCCAGGCTTGCGACTTAAAAAGACGAATCGCCCTCCACACCCCAGCCGGAGCCCTAAGCCCTAAAGAGCCTTGTGTTCCTATGTCCGAAGCCCTGGGTCCCGAAAGATGCCCACAAAACCCTAAACCCTAAACCCCTGAAACCCCTAAATCAGACAAATAGTCTATATAGTCCTTAAGCTATCTAGCTGGCTTGTCACGAAAGGCCACCCCGAAAGCGTGCATGAATTGTCCAGGCCGGATTCCTTCAAACTCCCATGGACCCTATCAATTCTAAACATTTGCAGATCAGCCATTGTTGGCTATCTATCTCTCAAGTGCAATTGCGTTTTGATGCGCCAACCCTTCTCCCGGAACATTTGAGCACCCCTCGTGCCTGCTCGGTGCCAAACGGTGGGTTTCGGGAGCTTTCCTAAATCCTTCCATGAACCCTAAACCTTAAACCCTAAACCCCTAAACCCTAAACCCGAAACGCTGTAAGCCGTGACACCTTGAACCCTAAGTCCGAGCTCTTCAGCCCGAAACTTCCGTCCTGTGCCAGGAGAAGGGCCCGTGGCTCCCCGAGGCATTCGCAGCTAAATGCTGGCATCTTGCGTCGGGGTTTGGAGTTCGGAGTTCGGATCGTCGCGGAGGGGAGGGACCGATGCAAAGGCAGGACGGAAATGCCGAGCACAATTCACAGGGTGGGCATCCTCCCCCCAAACAAGAGAGCTTCGGCTCCTTGCTGCGACATGGCAGAGGTTCATGCGCCCACTGGAGGTGTGTAGTTCTCAAAATTAGGGTCCCCTTTCAGGTCCCCAATGCAGTACGGCACCCTTATAATCAGGCTCCTAAAAAGGACCCTAATTTAGAGAACTACCCATAAACCCTAAACCCTAAATCCTGAACCCTTAATTTCAGGCTCCTAAAAGGGACCCTAATTTAGAGAACTACCCAGGTTCATGAAACTTGAGTTGAGCTGCAATGCAGCTGTGAAGGCTCAAAGCTGCCATAGGGAACGGTCGGGTTGGCCGTTTGCCTTCCGACAGCATGCTCCCAAGTGCAGCAGCTCGTCAAAGTCAGAGCAATTCCTTCCTAGGGTATTTGGCAGAACTCGGAGGCTACGTCCAAAGCGCCAATACAATACCAAGCCTCATAGATTGAAGGGGAAAAGACCAGCTTTCGGCGCATGTTCTTGAACTTCCTGTTGCTGCCCAGTCCCAGTAGCAGGTGAAGCCTGCACCAACTCCAGACGTGAACCTAGAACTATGGCTTGCCAGTCGTTTTTTTGTGTCGCGCACTATAGTTTGAGTGATGGAACCTGCCTGTGGTAAGGTACATCGCAGCTGGCTGGAGGCCGTCGGTGCTGTCTAAGCCTAAGCCCCACTACACAACCCGCTAAAAGATGGTGTCCCGTCATTCTCCACACTTCCGGTTCCGCGTCTTTTCCAAGACCCCGGTATCCCATTGCAAGCTGCCTGCGACCTAGCACCCTCCGTGTGAAAAGAAAAACCATCGTAGCATGATCCAGCGTTCAGTGCATGTTAGTATGCACGGACGCTCTTGCATCACAGAAACCAACTTTCATAGTCCAAACCTTGCGTCTCATGGCGTCACAGAGTGCAAGTTTGCTAGTTACCCAGAGGGTCCATATATACTACCATTATGGAATTGGGTCCCAAAAGACCATTCATATTAGGGTTTTGGGGACCTAATTCCATAATGGTAGTATATATGGACCCTTAGGGTTATCTCAGCGCGCAAAGCGACACCAAGCTCTTCCCAAGCCCAACAGTTGAAGTCAAGGCGTCCCAGCCCGTAAGCCCTGAACGCCCGAACGCGAAAATTTCAAGGGACCGCTGAGTGTAAGTTCCTACATCTGCACAATAAATTGCAGAACCTTTACTGAAGCCCTTATTAGGGCCCCTAAACGGAAACTTAAGCCCCGAACCCTCAAAACCGCAATGTTCCTACATAGGACCCCTAAAGACGGAAACTGAAGCCCCGAAGCTTCAAAACCGCAGAAAGCAACCTGCAACACCCCTTCTTGAGTCATATCGAATGCGCGAGGAAGCCCTTTGGCTCGGCCAGGATCCCAGAACCGGAACGCACGGTTTAGGGTTTAGGGTTTAGGGTTGCTTCGATTCCCTTATTCCAACCCTCCTGCACCTTTAATCCTACCTATTTCCCTCATTCCATCTCAGATTTGGTCGGTGTAAGGTGTGTTATCCTAAAGGGTGTCTTGTAAGATGGTTTTTGTGGGGCTTACAAGATTCTTGCGGGGTTTCATAAGGGTTGTTTTGGGGTCGGTACGGTTTTACAACTTTCTATGTTGGTAATGTAAGGGCTTGAGTAGTCAGTGGTCATATTCCTTAGGGCTCTTTGTGATATCCATAGCATGAGGAACCCCAAAGCCGCCTGCTGATGCTCCTAGATTTGCCTGCCCCGGTTCTCGGATATACTGATGCTTTCGGTCTTTTGGGAGTTTTGGGAGCATCCTCTGAACCTGTATGGTTGGCTTCAAGGTGCGAGCTGGGTAATTTCGGGGCCTGAACAATCACCAATACTAGTGTGGTTTCTTGTTCCGATGAAACTATAATGGGCCCCAAAACCTTATTCTAATTATTGAGGCCCCTACATTACCGGCCGAGTTTGGGGTGATCCGTTTCAGAATGGCGACCTTGCTTGTAATGTCCGCAGCAAGGTACCCAAAGCCATGGATTCCAAACCGCATGCATGAACCCTATAAGCTCTGAAGCCAGGAATGCAAGACTGCTGGGGGGCGCAAGTGGCTGTCGGGGCCTCGTCGTGCTTACTGTAATCTCGTTTCCGAAGAATATACGAAGGACATACTATAGAGGCTGGTATGGTTATCTGTGGGGGCTCCCGTCCTTACTATACTTATACTTGTTGATGTCATGCCAATGTTTTCGCGGCCGACAGGTTTCGATGAACTCTGGGTGTGAGGATGGGTTCTTGAATATTATTAGCCTTACTCCTATTCCTTGCTAACATCGACGGCCTGCGAGAGCTTGTTCACAGCATTGGATGTCGCATTGGTCAGCAATGCGTCGGCTAGGTAGTTATTAGCCGCCTACAGTGGCGGTCAGGTGTGGGTTTGGAGGACAGTCTGGCATGCTTTTGTGTTGCATATGGGGAGATCTCTAATAGGGTCACTTTTATACCTCCCCCAAATAGTGTGGCACCGGTGGCGAGCCACGTTGCGAAATCCTGGTTGAGTCAGTCTGTTGTGTGTGAATACATTAGACGCCATTCTCATCTCCATGATTCGGGTTCAGCAAAAGGCAAGACTTCTTCAGAGTGGAAACGTGCCAGTCTGTCTGGCCGAGGGGCGCATCACCAAGACTTATGGGCCGCGAGGATCTCAGTATGTAGAAACAGTTTCGATCATGTCAGTGTGCCGGTTGGCAGGTGCCTTCAGCTGTAGGTCTTGATGTGTCGTCACGGTGAGGTTGACCCTTGTGGAGACGCGCGTCCACGAAATTGAGAAGCGAAGAAAAGAGCATGAAGAGCTCAAGAGAAAAGAGGACGAATGGAAATGTGCCCATGCGCAACCATTGCCGAAGGGCCGCGGCCGCGCGCACGAGGCATTGCAGCAGGCCGATGCTGGTGCTTGCCCTGATGCACTTTCGGTCCTTGCTAATCGTTGGCTACGTGAAACTACCTGCCACTATGATTGTTGAGGGTTCCGTATTGTACATATAGTAAGCC